CAAAGTGGATTTCCAAGTGCAGTTAGCAATTACATTTTTAGAAGTCTTCAATTATGCCATTTACAAGAAGGTACATTTAAGAAGCTACAAGTCAGGAATGTGTTTTTTAATCTCTTCATTTACACATTTATAGGTAAAGCCCATATTTATGAAGCACCTACTGGGACACAAGAACACTGTGCTAGATACACTAAAAATGAACAGCCCCTACTGTCCCAAATCTCAAAAGCCAATGAAGAAAAGTCTCTTCTAATATCAAAGTACGTGTTCAGTGCATTTCTGGAAAACACTGATGTATGATCAAGGAAAAAAATCATGAGGAGAGCGTCCACATGCTGTGGTTGGAAGAATCGCCTCACTTGGCCCAAGACTGAGGGCCTGTGTCAGGAGAGTCTCTCCTAATCCTTATCATTAATGCCATCTAAGAGTGAAAGAACAAAGACTGTTGGAACAGAGGGTACTTGGTATTTCATTTCTCCTCCACCCGGGAATAATCTTCCCACAAAACCAAATGCTCTATCAGTAGAGAAGCTGTCTGTTGAAAATAAGAAATCTCAAACTGGCTTAAATGATGAAAGGGACATAACTGTTCTCAAATTTAAAAGGCCAAAGGCTTCAGGCATGATTTGCAAGAACTTAAGCTGAATTTCCCTCCAATTCCTTCAACTCTACTCATCTCCATGTGTCAATTCTGCTCCCCTCCTCACTTTCCTCTATTATTCACAGAATGGGTGCCAGCAACCAATGTTTCCATCTTCACAACCACGGGTAAAGAAGACCTTGGCTTCTCCTGACCATCCACGGTAAGTCCTGAGCTTTGAGCTGATTGGACCATCATGAAACCTATCCCTGTGGCCAGGAAAATACCTTGGTGCTGATTGGTTTAAGCATGGGTTACCTGAACCAATCACCTGTGGAACTGGGGTTGGGTACATACCTGGAGGACATGCATGCCTGCCACCATCTGCTAGGGGAGGAATGAAATGAGGGTCACGGAGGCAATCATAGGATAGCATCTGCTACAATTCTTTTTCATGCATAAAGTCTGGATCACTAAAACTTTTATTCAGTATCAGAGATACACTCTGTAAAGAGGGATCTATTTCCTCTAAATTTGCTAAGTCAGACATCTAAAGATGATTTTATTTTTCAAAAACATAACAAAGTAGGTAATTGTTTTTTATAGCTTTCTTTTCCATTAAGAATACCCTTGCAACCCCAAAAGAAATGGTTTTAAAGTCTTATATCAATTAGTAATTGAGAATAATTTAAAATCTTTCCCATATCCCACCTTCCCTATTCCCAATTTCCAAAGCAGTATGATCTAATTTGGAATTCCCAGTTATAGGAACCCAAATATTTTCTTCTTCAGTTTGGATAACAGGTCAATAAATTTGCAGAAGGCGCCATATATAATGAGCCTTAAAGGATTTCTTCTGATGCATGTTCTCATAAAACTCCCCCCCAATTCATCAACTCAATATGCAAAGTGCCAGTCAAAGGGATTTTCAAGAGCTAAGTATTTCTTCCACCCTTCAATTAGAACTAGAGCTCCTTGAGTTCAAAGATGCAACTGCAGTACCAAATAAAATGTCCAAGGAGTCCACCTGTGGTATTTTCCTCCCACTGCCTTGGTGAGGAGAGAATGAGCTGCGTGAAGGCAGATCACAGCCTTCGAATGACTGTCATTGACTGGGTAAATTTAGGCCATGGAGAACCGAGTAAATCAGAAGCTAACTTCACAACCCCCAGATGTATCAAAACAATAGTAGCCAACCTTGCAATGTTTTCTCCAAGCATCACCCTTGCATGAACAGTCATAAGCTTGCAACCTGTCCATGTTGGATCGTGGAGGGAGCCACTGTGCTCAGAAGGTGCCTCACGGGCAGGTGGCATTCAGGGAAGTACTTGAGAATCAGGCCTGGGTTTTTGTTTTCGGTCTGGGATTTACAGTTGCAGTTAGCACTCTGCCTCACCGGAGCCCCCTCCTGAGATCCTGCAGTCGTGCGCTACTGAAACCGTCCCGGCCATGACCCACGCAGTCTCCTTGGGCATTTTGGTCCCTTCCACGCCCCGCCCTGGGTGAAAGGTGAAGGAACAGGAACAGCTCTCTGCCACCAAAACCCTGCACCACCTTTGGGATGGCTTCACGCCTCTCTCTCAGCAGGGAGCAGCCCTGGGGCGGGTGGGGAGAGGTTGCAACACCTGGGCCAGGCCTGTGGCAGGTCAGCCTGCCCTCCGGCAGGCAGCTGAAGTGGGGGGGGGCTGCTTGGCCCAAATGCTGCTTAGTCAGGCCGCCATGCCCAGCGGAGCCAAGCTGCAGATGTGCCCAGACCTGCCGCCACCAGGTGTCTATGTCTGGGCTGGGAGGTGACGGCACAGATGTGACTTCTGGCTCCTGGTTTTTCCCAACACTGTCCTCAGAGGAATGTGAGGACTCAGACAAGGCCACCTCAGAAGGCCTCTGCCAGAGCACAGCTCTCGACCTCATCAAAAGCCTTGGCTGCCCTGCACCCTTCCCTCCCCGGTCGGGGTGGCCCTGCCTCAGCCCAGGGCGGCTCCACCTCGAGCCTCTGGAAGCTCCAGTGGGAGGCAGCTACCCACCCACCTGCTAGGCTGTAACACGCTGATCCTGTGACCAGTGCCCAAACTTCCACAGGAAAAGGGTTTTTTTTCTTTCTGTGTAATAACATGATCCCAAGAATAAAACTGTCTTTTTTAAAAAATTAAAACAAAACGTCTTCAAATTCATTTGTCCCCACTGAGAAAAAATTTCTTGTGAGAATTTGTTTCCCAAAGAGAGGTTATTCTGTACTTAACGGAATTATTAACAATGGGAATGAGTCTTACCAGGGTGTAAATATTGGAAAAGTTTACCAGCCCATTAGGGACTCGGAATCCAACACATAAAGGTTGTTACTAATCTCTGTGTAGCTTCTGAGAATGCCATTCAAAGCTCAGGCAGTCTGTGAGCCATTCTCCATCAGGAGTGATATTCATTCTATAAACAGTTTATGGCACACCTTCTATGTACAGACAGACCTCATTTTATGCCACTTCACAGATAATTGCTTTTTTTTACAAATTGAAGGTTTGTGGCAGCGCTGCATCGAGCACATCTATCGGCACCATTTTCCCAACAGCACTGGCTCATTTCACATCTCTGTGTCACAGTTTGGTAATTCTCACAACATCTCAAACTTTTCATTATTATTAGATTTGTTACAGTGATCTGTGATCAGTGATTAGGACTTACTGAAAGCACGGGTGATCGTTAGCCTTTTTCAGCCACAAAGTATTTTTAATTAAGGTCAGTACATTGTTTCTTTTAGACATACTGCTATTGCACATAGACTACAGTGTGGGGTAAACATAACTTTTATATGCACTTGGAAACCAAAAAATTCATTTGACTTGCTTTATTGCCATGGTCTGGAACCAAAACCACACCATCTCCACCGTATGCCTGTACAAGAAGGCCAGACCTCGAGGAGACACCACTGTCTATAGCAGAGGGCGCAAATGAACAGCACACTGGCCAGATGTAGCCCAAAAACATATTTTGTTTGACTCACACCGTATTTATCAAAAATTTGAATTAGTTGCCAACTTTTAAATATTGGAGTTATTTCCAGCTTCTCTTAAAAACTCAGGAAATCTGGCAAACTGAGCTCACATTCCCGGCAGATGACAAGCAGAGTAACGACTGCCCACTTCAGACAGGTACTGGCTCTCCTTTCACGCAGCCCCATCGGCCCTGCGTCCCCCTGACTCAACCTGCTGACCCCTCAGCATATGCCAGCAGCTCTCAGGAGGGGCAGTCACAGTGCACTCCCCTGGGAAAGGCCTCTCTTAGGGACAGGAAGCCCCAACCAAGCCTCTCCTTTGAGAAAAGCTGCTTCATGCCTGCCTAAGAACAGGGATTTTCCTATTGTGTGTCTTCTCAATGTTTCTCCTCTTTAATAAAGATTTTTCTAATCCCTGATAATGCACAGTTAGGAACAACATCCTGTTTTTAGGGCTCCCTAACACAAGGAACAGAACACAAAAGGAAAATGGCAAGGCTGAAGCATAGAAGCCAAAAGGGGGGACTGGGAGAGCAGGGCAGGCCCTCAGGGGCTCCCCCATCTGCCCGATGAAGAAGCAGAGGCCTAGAGGAGGGGCAGGTCGTGCCCAGGTCCCACTACTGACCTGAACAAGAGTACAAGCATGACCTGGACAGTCTTTACTCCGCCGGTGCCACATTCTCTTCTATGCGCAGGAGTGGTTTGTCCCATGTCCTGCCTCCATGTTTCCAAGGAGTGGCGGGGAAGCACGTCAAGACCTGGGAATAAATATCAGGACTGATTTCAGAAGTCACATGGTAACACCAGCTATGTGATTCTAAATGAACCTGCAGCAAATTAATTAGCATTTTTCATCTAGACCTCCTGATTCCCTATATGTGGTCAAAACTGTCATAGTTGAAGAAACATGTCCATCAATCGCAGTGGTGCATGTTGGGAGAGGCTGCCTGTTTTTGTGTTTTCAAATGATGAACTGCCAAAATCCTCCTTGTGTTTGTAACCAGGGATAGAGTCAAACAAGTTGATCTGACCCTGATATTTGCTGTTAGTGGAAAGTTTTAGTAAAACAAATACAATTCAGTTGCAACAAACACAAACATGACCAAACCCTCAATTGGACAGATTAAAGGTACTTAAGTGGGCCACTACCTGGGACTAAGACCTTTCCGTGTATTTGTAATGGGTATATTTGGCCATTCAATAATACCGCCACCAAGAAGCCCTCTGGTAACAAATATTAAGTTAATCCTATTATCAGTTTTACGTGCAGCAGAATGGAAGGGGAGAGAGCAGCATCTGTAGAACAGGGGCGGTGCTAGTTAGCCCTACCAATCTGCAGGGCACAGGGTTTCATATGTACTTTTATAGGCGAAGACAGTGAACCAAGAAAGCTGACTTTCTCAGCCGGTTTCCAACTGGTAGGAACAGGCTACACCTGGGCCATTCTCAGCCCAAAACCTGAGCTTTGTCTGCTACAGCGAATCATAGCCCAGAAGCCACTACAATGAGTAATGACCAAAGAAGTTAAGACAAGGACACCTCACACCTTGGCTAGAGAATGCAATGAGCACAAGAAAGGAGGCGGATTCAAGAGCTTGGGAGTCAGAAGAGGCCAGAAACACATGGAGCGGAGGAGGGCTGGTGGATCAGGGAAGGCTTCTGAGAAGCAGGGACGTTTGAGAAAGGCTGTGAAGGATGCACCGCGTTACAGCAGGCGGAGAGGAGGGGAGGGGCAAGCACTAAATGCTGAATGCTGGACGGCGAGGAGCACGGAATGGCAGGTAGGCGGTTTAGGTTTGGAATTCACAAAGCGATGCTTCATGATAAAATTAGCCTTGTGAAAAAATTCATCTTCCCAACACCTGCTAAGGAAGGGCAGACAGAGTCGATCACAGGAGGCACAAACACACCTGCAAGGAAGGGCACCACACTGCAGACCAGGACACTCACCTGGCCAGAACGTCAAACATGTGTGCAGCCTGTGCAGAGGCAGAACGGCCCTCTGGGCCCCAGAAACCCAGACACCCACACTTCTCTCCACGTATACCCTGTTTAGTCCTTTCTCTGCGCTTCCCCTCGGAGGCCTGAAACCTTTCAGGGCCAGAACCGGGCGTCCTTTCTCTGACTGCAGCTCACTTCTTTCTCCCCTCATCTCACATCTTCTGCTACAACCTCAGAGTGTGGACGGGCTTCGTTTCCCTTTCAGGGTTCTCTGCCAGCAGCAGGGTAGGTGGGATGCGTTCCGGGAGGAGGACGCAGGACCCGCGAGTCCAGCCTTTGGAGGGTCTTCAGGGAACTGAAAAGGTGGGCTGAGCCCCGATCCCCCGAGGCTCTGCCCGCCCCGCCCAGGGGCACAGAAGCGCGGTCGTGCGGCAGGACTTCGTCCTCAGGCCCAGAAAGCCGGCTCGGCCCCGTGTGGTGTCCAGGGCACTTCATTTCGTTTCATCCTTTGCACCCAACAAGAGGGGTGACCATTTAATCCCATTTTACAGCGGAAGCGACTGGGGCTCAGAGAGCAAAGCCCCTTGTCCTGGGAAAGCGGGAGCTGGGACTGTCACTCACTGGGGCGCACGCGGGACGAGGGGCGCTTGTCTGGACTCTGAACACCTCCTACGACCCCCTTCCGCCCCTCCCGGGACGTGGCCCCAAACTCCCTCTGGAAATGAGGCTTGGGCGGGCGGGGGGCGCGGGGGCGCCGGGAGGGTCCCGAGCGGGGAGCCAGCACTGCGGGGCGCCGCGCCTCCGCCGGGAGCGGCCAGCGCCGACACGTCCGGGCCTCGGCCGGCAAGTGCCTTCAGGCCCGTTGGAGAGACACCTCCGCCCGGCCGGCCGCGGGGCCGCGGGTTCGC